CCCCCCCCCCCTCTCAGAGGAGTGTCTACTCTTTCTATAATCTGGACTTTCATAGAGGTGACATTACTATTGTAATGATCATGAAAGTGTCTTGCTATGTTTGTCTCCTTTTGAGTTCTAATATTAGACAGGTGATCTCTTATACGATCACACAGTCGTCTTGTAGTCTTCCCTACATATTGTACCCGACATTCAATACAATAGATAACGTAAATAACAAATGTGGTCTGGCAATTCACTAACTCGCTAATCTCAAAAGCTGTACCATTGACATGTACCATCCCCTAGGATATCACAACTTGAACATCTGGACAAATTATATTTGTACAACCCCACGGTTCTTAACCAGTTCCCATCAGTCATATTCTTACTACTAAAGAGGCTGGGAGAAATAATATTTCCTACAGTGGGTGCTTTCCTAGCTACAAAATGCATCCCTGGTTCTAACACCCTCTTGAGGTCAATATCTCCATGTAAAACAGGTATGTACCTTTTTAGAATCCTTTTAATCTCCTCAAATTGTAAGATATATATCGAGTTAACACCATCCTAAACAGCCCTTAGTCTGCAAAACAGTCATTTGTGGAATTGCTATCTTCTCTAAGTTAACCCCTCCCCCCCGAATCTTATTCCTCTTATCTCTGAGTAGATCTCTCCTAGGAATTCTACAGACCTCTTCATAAGTTGACCTTATTAGGGGGCGAGAGTAGCCTCGTTCCACAAAACGCCTTTCCAAATCTAAGGATTATCTGTGGAAATCTGCTTAACTAGTACAATTCCGCTTCATGCGGACAAACTGTCTTTTAGGTATAGCTCACATCACATGAGGAAGATGGCGTCTGTTCTCAATAACAAATTATTTGAGGTTGGTTTACGATAAGCACACATCTGCACAGCCCCCTCTTCCACATTTCCTACCAAAGTCAAATCTAGATAATTAATCACTGTGTCGTGCACCTCCATGGTGAACCTCAAGTTCAACCTATTGTCATTGAGAAATTGTAACCATCTCTTTAGATCCAAATCCTGGTTCACAATGAAAATCACGTCATCTATGTAGCAAGCAAACAAATGTATATATTTCCAAAAAGGATTCAAATCTGCAAAGATGTGGCACTCCTCCCGCCAACCCATTAATTGATTGGTGTAGGTAGGTGCGAACGTCGCACTAATCTATGAGTCACAGCTTTAGAGATAATATTGACTATCAAACATGAAATAGTTGTGTCAGCAAAAAATGAACCGGGGCTCCAATAAAATGTTTAAAATCATCACAGTAGTCTGTATATGAATCCAAATGATACATCAATGCATCTATAACTAAAACATGTGGGATGCTAGAGTAAAGAGAAGCAACATTACATGTCACCTCCATGTCTATTCAAACACCTCCAGACATTGTATAATGTGTTTGGTACTTCTAACATAACTGGGCTGAATCTTAACAAGTGGTTTGTAAGAGAACATCTATGACATCACTAAAGGATTCACACAAAGATCCAATACTTGCCACTATCAGTCTGCTCCTCCTTATGAACTTTCGGAAGATGGTGGAAGATGGGTATTATGGGTGATTCCGGTACCAATCTCTCTAAAACTTTTGAATTGTCAGACCACATTTGTTATTTTTGTTATCTCTTAAATTGAATGTCAGGTACAATATGTAGGGAAGACTACAAGACGACTGTATGATCGTATGAGAGATCATCTGTCTAATATTAGAACTCGCAAGTAGAAAAACGTAGCAAGACACTTTTGTGATCATCACAATAGTAATGTCACCTCTCTGAAAGTCTACATTATAGAAAGAGTAGACACTCCTCCGAGAGGGGGGAATAGGGTCACTTTACTGCCCAAGAAAGAGTTTTTTTGGATCTTTAAACCGGACACCTGTATTCCCAAGGGTCTTTATCTTGAATAGGACATTACTTATTATTATGAATGATTCAAGATAACAAGCATTGGTTCCTCGTTTTATCCCTGTATGATACTATATTAACAATTCTAATGGGGTTATTCGCAAAGCTGCCGAAGGCAGCCGAGTGAATAACCCAGCTGAAGTGAAGTGAGCTGAATGCTGTTCAGCTGTTCACTTCAGTCTTGTACTGCTGATTTCAGCCGTACATCGGCTGCCTTCGGTCAGCCGAATAGTCTCTGCATGTTTGGCTTTGCCAGAGTGAAGAAGGAGTTCGACTCAGCCGATCCAACATCCGCATGCGACGGACTCCTACAGGTGAAACTCGAAAAATTAGAATATCGTGCAAAAGTTAATTTATTTCACTAATGCAACTTAAAAGGTGAAACTAATATATGAGATAGACTCATTACATGCAAAGCAAGATAGTTCAAGCCGTGATTTGTCATAATTGTGATGATTATGGCTTACAGCTCATGAAAACTCAGATCCACAATTTCAGAATTTTTTTGGCAGTGTGGGCAGGTGCCAAGTCCTGCTGGAAAATGAAGTCAGCATCCCCATAGAGCTCGTCTGTGGAAGAAAGCAAAAAAGTGCTCCAAAATCTCCTGGTAGACGGCTAAGTTGCATTAGTGAAATAAATGAACTTTTGCACGATATTCTAATTTTCCGAGTTTCACCTGTACTTCCTAATGAAGCATCTGACAGATGTCGGCAAAAGAAAAGCAATTTGGCGAAGCTACCGGTGAAAGTTTGATACCAAAGGCACTCCACCTGTGACAGGAGCCATCGGCTTATGCGGCTCTGCTCCCTCCGCTGCCGCCTCGCTTCCTCTAGCGCTGGCTTAGTTGGCACCGCTGATTCTCTCCTGCGGCTCTTCAAGTTCCCCTTATGCCACCACCGGCCCTGGGAATGGTCACAACTAGGTCTTTTTTTCAGGGTAGGTCTTATATTTTAGCAATTCCAAAAAATAGTACTAGGTCTTATTTTCGGGGTAGGTCTTATTTTCGGGGAAACACGGTAAATGTTAGAGTTAAGTTATTATGCCATAGTTTTGCATGTACGTAAAGGCAAAGCTTTATTTTAAGGTTAGATCCTCTGCCAAGTTTTTATTGCTGTTATTGTCTCCACTGGTGAAATTCATCTCTAATTTTGTCTTGTAGCTATTGTCACTCAGATCGAAAGTGAGGATAAATCTGACAATTTTAAGTTGTCATGAGAGGACGAAGTGAGGAGAAATCCTCAATCAACAGCTGTCTTGGGCAAAATTGGGCATTGTCCTCACTTTGGTGACATTTTTATCTCACTTCCTGTTGCATCTCCAAGACAGGAAGGGAAATTAAATCTCCCCAGCAGGACACAGGCAGTGGGAAAAAGTTTGGGCTTTACATGGCAAAGAGATCCTGTCACTAACTTAAACCATTTCAGGTAAAACCACTGAAAAGAGCAAGTATTTTAAATGCATATTTTCAATTACCTGCAATGTGACTTTGAACTTGCGAGAAAATGTAACTATGTCAGGAGACAATTACCAGCCCCCTCCCTCCTTGCACATTATAGCTCTCTACTCTTCTGAGAGAGTCTAATGATTATCTTTGCTTGCCCAATACCTCTGCTCCTTCCTACATAGCCCTTCATGTAGCTGCCAGGAGAGGAATGAAGGGGTATACTATGGAATGTCACTTGAGTGACAGCTTTGAGTCTTCTAGGGCTGCTAACATCACATCAACAGGCGCCAAGCACTTTTAGGAATTTTAGATGTCTACACTAGGGAGGTTTCTACAAGTAAATACACATATAAAATACATTAAATGCACATGTAATATTATTGGAAATGTTTTGTTAAAATTAATGGTCTAGCTTTTTGGTCAAGCAGGCTCCTTTTAAGTTAATTGTTTGTAACCAATTAGTTTTTTCTATTCCATTTCTTTTTGCCCATGTATTGTATATTTAAACTATCTTAGAATGTTAATGCGTGAGTAAAGTAATTCAAGTATGTATATTGTGATTTTATTTTCACCTTGTTTTCTTTATTCCTGCAGGTATTATGTCTGACCACCAGTTTGGAACCCAGTTCATGTGTAGTGTTGTGGCTTCGCATGTAAGTCACCTGCCAACAACAAATCTCAGTTTTGTATGGATAGCTCCACCTGCAGGGACTGGATGTGTCAATTTCATGTGAGTAAAAAGTGTTCATCTATGTGGAGAGATCATGGCAATTTTAAACCTAAAATGGATATTCAAAGAACTATTGACCATTGACATTATGGTTCATTAAATTTCTTCTCAGGGTTTTGGAGCAAGAATAGTTATCTTCTTTCCCCTAAGGTGAATTTTAATTACCCTAAACATTTCTAAGGTATTAATCATGCTGAAGTCTAGGCACTTTCTGGGGCCTGCAAGTACCTCTTAGATCCTTGGCCCAGGTTGTACATGGGGCCTCATGCACCTTGCTTGAGATTTCCCAATGCTAAGCTGTACCCCTTTATTTGCTGTAAAGTAAAAGAACTTTAGGGAACAGCGGAGGCTTTGGCATCTAACACTTGAGTGACAGGTACCAAGGGGGGGAGCTTACATTATACTTGGGCAGAGGTAAAGACCTCCATGTACAGCCTGGGCCTGAAAATCAAGGGGATGTCAAAAGACATGCGGAATGGTTTTAAAACAGCTAATTGTAAGCACAACAACAGCATTATTTCTACTACACTACGTGCTTTTTAAGTTTTACTCATCAACACTTATAAGGTTGATGTATAAATTAGTAATTTTAATGATGTGATGGCATAAAGTGAGCCTGTAGTAAAAGAACAAAATTACCACTGAACTCGGGAACCAAAAGCTGTTATTAAGAGCTGCCTGCACATACCTTCATGTAGCTTATAGTGTGCCTCAGGAGACCCCACACCCTGGGCACTCAGGACTGTCATGATCACTTGCAGCTTTGAAGTCAGAGATTATCCTCCATTCAGTGCTCTGATCCTTTCTAAGAAAACTGGCATGGCAGCGCGTAATGCTTAATGGCTGTTCTGGGGCTTCTGGGATGCTCTTAGTACCAGACAGGGCATAACACTCCCTTTATGAGTTCCCTTGCATCCACAAAAATGTCAGCTGTTCTTGATTGCAAAAACATTGTCCGTCTAAAATATGTTAAAAGCATCAGTATGCTGTTAACCATAGCAACCATTCACTGGATCCTGCCCATCAAGGCATTGCAGCTATACCACTGTCAACCAATAGCAGACACAATTTTGTGACACCAGTCTAAGGAAATTACATCACTTTCCAAAGCATCCATTCACTTATTATGCCTCATTAATGAACAGCAGCACCAATTTGTGATTGTTTGCAAAATGTTACAGCACAGTGATATGCCTGCTGTGGCCCATAGCAAATACTGATGCCCCACAGCTCTACAACAGTCATATCACGGTTCTGTAATGCACAGTAGCCAATTACATATTAATTATTTTCAATGTACAGCAACTCCATTACTGTGCTGTTACCCGTAGAAATATTCACCGTTAGAAATTAGCTTCATTGCCAATTTGTAAAAGACTCAAAACTTGATCCACTGTTTTATGTCTGGACTAGATCACACCCCCTAGTCCAGTCTGCAGGCCCAGATATCCATGGGAATATCAGGTGTTCAGGTTGTACTCTAGAGGTGAGCCATGTCCATCGTATTAATCTATAATACAGTAAGACCAAAGTGGTTAAACCATAACTCTGTTGCACATAGAACATAACCAACCCTTTTACAGAGCATGGCTTTTTGGTTTCTTATGACGCAACTCACCACGAGCTGACCTGCTATTTTTCTTTTTGCATAGCTTTTTCTATGTTTCCTATTCAGTGAATGGGCACACATTTGGCAAAAAGTAGAACAAAAACAGCAAAGCTAGCAAGGCTGGAAATTCTTAACTTCTTCTGAAAGCCATAGGGGTCTATTCACGAAGCTGCCGAGGGATCTGGCCGTAGCTTCGGCCGATCCTTCGGCTAGCTTCGGCCCCAGGACCCCTTCGGTTCAGTAGAACCGAGGGGGTGCTGTACGGGCTATTCACAATAGCCCGTACAGCTCCCGATCATGGCCGAGCGGCTCAGTCGAGCCGGTCGCATATGCATCGGCTCGGCTGAGCCGTGCAGAAAGCCAAAGCTGGCCGGCCGACAGCCTGCTTCTGACAGCTGGGCGGAGCCAGCCGTGATCTTACGGCTGGCTCCGGCCACTTTCAGAGAGATCAGCGTCCCTGGTTGCTAACCAGGGTATCACGAACCTGAGGCTGAGACTGGAAGATGGGAAGGCGTCTCTTGCGAATCGTGTCCTGCGACCCCTGGAGTTGGGAACAGAAGGGTGCAGGGCAACGAGGAGCACGAGTGCCGTAGGCTGGAAACACCCACTGCGTGGAGACAACAGCGGAGAGAAGTCAGGAAGCCAAGGTCAAATCCGGTCGGGCAGGCGAGGTACAAAATCGTAAGGCAAACTCAATATCCAGGAAACAAGCCGAGGTCAGGGGCTGGCAGCAAGCAGAGAATAGTCCAGAGCAATCCGAGTCAAGGCAGGCTAAAGTAACAGATACAGAACACAGGCACAACACTAAGCTGACAAGACCATCAGCAATGCCAGAGAGGCTGGCTCCTCCTTTTATAGTCCCAAGGCTCACAGAGAGTTACCTCACTTCCTGTGCGTTCTCCCGTGCATCTTGCGCAGTTTGCCCTGATTCTCGCGCATGCGCAGTTTGCCGCGATTCTCGCACATGCGCAGTTTGCCTCGATTCTCGCGCATGCGCAGTTTGCCGCGATTCTTGCGGTTTGCAATCGTGCCTTTACAGTGCCCCCCCCTAATGGGCAACCTCCGGATGCCCAATCGGGCTGCAGTGAGAGGATGAGTCTGAAAAAACTTTCGAACCAGCATTGGACCGTGAACATTGGAATCAGGTTCCCAGGAGTTTTCTTTTGTTACGGAGGCAGATGACACAAGAGCGGACGTACGACAGGCAATCCTTCCTCAACCCCGGCCACCAGAAGGACAGCCGCACCAAGTCAATCGTCTTGCGAACTCCGAAGTGACCTGCCAGTTGATGATCATGACACATCTGAAGAACCACGACACGAACCTCGGGTGGTATGAACACCAAATCGTTCAGAAAAAATAATCCTTCCTTCTCCTGGAAGTTCAGACTGGCGGGCAAAGTTGCACTTCTTCTGATCGGTCATTCACTCGGCTGCCCTTGGCAGCATAGTGAATAGACCCCATAGTCTAAATCAGCCCCTTTCCTAACTAGGGTTCCCCCAGAGGTTGCTTGGGGTTCCTCTAGCAGTGAGTAGCTGGTTGATTTCCCACCTGATAACTGAATACCTGATAACTGCATGGTTCCATTACCAACATCACGTGGCAGACCCAGTGGCATGGGGCCACCTAAGCCTTATCTCTTATCATATAAATCACAAAAATGAAGACTGTGTCATTGAGCATTTAATTACAGTTACAGTCAGAAAACTTTTTTTCTTGAATTTCCATCTGCTAATGACTGTAAATCAATAATAAGTAACAAGCTCCTTTTGTGTATTATTGTTCTGATCAATGTAATGACTTCTGGTGATGTGCTTATGTTAACAAACATTTTGTTTGTTTGTTAACATGTATGTGTATATATAAAATATTTAATTATATACAAATTGAGCTTTTTTTTTGGAAAACAAAAGAGCTCATAAGTTAAATCAATTAAAAAAATTATATAAATCATACAAAATAATGTGAACATGAATAGCTACACAAATGGTCCATGTCTTTGGAGTATTAAGCTACGGTCCATGACCATGGAGTATTAGGGCATGAACAATCAACTGGTAACAGTGTTATAAAAACAGGGGCCATTGTGCACAACATATAATGACAGGGCATGGATTGGACAATGTATGCAATGCAGTGAGGAATAGCAGTTCCCAACATTTTGAGTTGCTGAAATAGCCAATCTAAAGGAGTTACCATTTCACTAATCACAAACTACTAATCGAATAGGCACGTTACAGTTACTACACTGCCAACCACAGATCCAAATAGTTAGCAGGCAGAAAACATAAAATATAAATAAGTCTACAATCAAGGTTGCACTTATTATAAGATCACCTGAAAATGTTTCACTTTGAATAACAATTCAAAGTGAGGGAGGTAATATTAAGACGGAGTGGCATCATTCCAAGAAATACTCAAAATGCAAAACATATATAACTATATTGAATATATTTCTTGATCGTACATCACAGGACACAGGGAGTTAAGAGAACTATGGGGTAACCTTTTTTTCCCATAGTTCTCTTTAGGGTCACAGGAGGACATATACTAACATCCTCCCGTGTCCCAAAACTCAGTATATAGCGGGCTATTGCCCGCTATATGCTGAGAGTGGAGCAGCTGGGACAAGTCCCAACAATACTGTGGAGATCCACTCTGCTGGCTGATTGACATCGGGCGCTGCCTATGTAGAGGCAGAGCCAGCTGTGCCCGCCCCCTCTCCCCTCCGTTCCTACAGTCAGTGCTGGAGGATCGGAAAGGGGAGGGGGGAATTCGACTGACAGTCACCACTCTCTGCAGGGAGATGATCGAGAAGTGAGCGAGTGATGGTATGTGTTCACTCACTTCCCAATCAGTAGAGCCTACGTGTGACAGTTTGCACTCTAACTATGGGAATGAGTGTAATTTACTCACCCCATAGTTCTCCTTTGATTCTTAGACCTCTGGGCTACGTAGTTACCATTAGCTGACTAGACTCTGGCAAATCAACCAAAGCTGCAGAACTGCCCTACATAACCCAGCCCACTCCTAGCCTGCCTTAGTTTTTTACTGGTGTCCATAGATGATGGATGCCTTCCCTCAGCCCTGAGAGAAGTAATCTCTTTTACACTATTTTTACTATAGTTTTTGTACAAGATTTTTCTAGCATGTTTCCCGCATGCTGTCCCATGCCTGGTATTCCAGGTACTGTACTACACATGGCCACCATTTTCTCTCTTCCTGGCACTCGATTAGCATAACCACATGCTTCCTGCTGCTCCTGGGACTCTGCCTCCAGCTTCCTGGAAGCACATTACTGCTGTAACTCTACACCCCAAAGTCAGCTAAGTCCTGGGTTACCATCTACCTACTGATTTTGCACACAAGGCACCCTCTCGCTGCTCAGGGG